AATGTGTTCCGCTACAGAAGCCAACAGTTACACATTTTCGATGTGTTGCGCGACAGCTCTTTGGTTGACCGATTCCCACTTCCTGAGAATAGCCTGTATCGTTATACGTATGTAATTAAAAAAGTAAAAACGAATGAATTGGCAATTTGTTTCAGCCATGACATGAGCTGGTTGGCACAGTGGTAACACACGCCGTCCATGCGATGGGTCCGGAGTTCAAATCCTGGACGGGACGGTGGGTATGCACTACCAACGGTAAAACGAGCAAACCTCGAGTTTAGTGCTTCCGAGTGTATGGTTGAATCGATGAACTGAGGACTGTGCGTGAAGGTGAAGTCCGAAGGATAGTCAATCAAATCGATCAGAAAAAGAAAAGTCGTCCGAGAAAGCAATACACAATATAGATAACCTGATTATGGGATTTACGCGTTCTGCTGTTCACCACAGGTGGACGTGTAATGAAAAACAATCAGTAATGGTGTGAGCATCCACGGTGGTAACGTGGCATGATAACTGGGCACTATCAACATAATTTTTCAATGTAGGCCAGATAGAAAAGAGGTTATTCGAAAATAAATGATTTGTTGTTGGCCAAATAGAAATGCAAATTATTTGGAAAGGTCATGTTACAACCGGACAAACAACAGCGGTTAGAACTTAGTCTAATGTGCATAGTTAATGTCAATTTAGAACCGGAATGGAATGAATCTATTGCAAATATTTTTTGCAATTACATTGCGTGTTAGATTAATTACCTGTAATAGGTTCCGAACAAACTCAAAGGCGAGTAGAGTTGAAGAATGTAGGTGTTGAACAGGACAAAATCTCCAACGGTTAGGTTGCCCAGGACCACATCGCGTGCACACAGCATAGTACCGAACAGAAGACCAGCAGTAATGGTTGTGGTTTGTACAACATTCAAAATATTCAGACTCGTCTGTGTGAGCCATTCACATTTTTGATACTCGATAAATGCCTGTTTGAATCGGTCCACCTCAAACTCCTCCGCATTAAAATACTTCACCTGTGGGGAATACGAAGAACAAGTGATGGATTTTAGTCTATCTAAATAGTCAGGTTCGGTCCTCCGATCGAGGCACAATCCAGAAAGCTATTCCTAAGGTGACCGAGATGAAACGGTATGTATGCAAAGTTCGATTGTGTACCCTGTGTGTTGACCATAAAAGTTTACCTTCTTCTACCTCCCTCAAAATAAGCCAAAACCTGTCCACTAACCTTGTATACACTGCGAGTTTGGCAGCGATCAGTGCAGTTCGCCTCACTGTTTATTTTTTATTTCTTTCAAACTTGTCTGAGGACAGACTGTGCCAAGCAAATCATTGTACAATAATCTTTATAACAAAGAAAAACGTTCCATGATTGACTTGTGGGCTGTATACTGCCAGGTTGCCCAGGCCGAGGAAGGTGAAATTGCTTGAGGAATGCACAACTGTAGACTTCAGCTAGCCAAAGCCTGATCCGCAAGGCAGCAGAGCGGTGTGCGAAAACCGCAACCCATTGGAGGCCGGTGTCCAGTTTATTGGATCATACGCCCTTTGGACGGGATCAAACGTCCAGGGTGCCTAATACATCTCGATGCCTAATTGAGCGGTGATCACTGCCAAAACCGAAAAGGTGTGGGTGTGGTTCCTACGCCTCCTTTTGGTTGGTTTGTAATCAGGGTCCACCAACGGGTTATAGCCCCGGATGTCGGCTTTTCGTCCTCTCACTTTGGTGAAAAAAACATCTCCGCCACGAGAAGGCGGTGAGTAGGGGTTCCTCAGCAGAGGCTTTCCGAGACGCTTGGTCGTATGGGAGTATGTCGCGAGGTGCAAGGGAAGGGTGACCAGCCGCAACCCTAGATACGCACACCCGACTATACTGAGGCTCGCCCCACTGTATTCGGCTGTACACGAAATTCATCACAAAATCTTTGTTAACATGCACACTGAAGTTGATGCAAAAAGGGTACGGCGTAAAAAGTGATGATTTCGGTAACCTAGGAACGTCGTTCATCCTGGCAGAGGCCAAGTGAAAATTAAAACTGATTGAACAACGATCTAGTTAACAACTAGCATGAGTATAGAGTTCAATTCAGTTCGTACAACCATTAACCCTGTATGATCGCGCGCCGGTTTTGGTTGCTATCTTTCGGCTGCCCAGTTGGATGAACATTAGGAGAAACACAGGAAAGGTTGAAAGTAGGATCGAAGAGAAAATTGAAAAGTTCAGTGGACTAATGAAACAGAGAAATTGAGAAGATGCACGAACGCCACTGTTTACGACACCCGACCATATCGTTGTGTCTCTAACCATCGGGTACGACCGTCCCGAGGTCCTCATCCAGGAGGCCTAACGGGACCTATGTGACCCAGACTCGTGGTTAGGGTTTTCATACCGTCATGCCAGGTCTGAGCTTGACCACCCTAGACTTTATTCCACCCACTAAAGGTATTGACCAAACTCTTGTAATATCCTGATTTTCATCACATTTGTTCCTCTCAATGCTTCGGTTTTCCAGCCTCATTCAAGGAATTGAATATGAATATTGCCCCACATCAGACGCAACATGTCTGATATAATATCGACTTACGTCACTGCTTCTATTAGCCACATGCCATTAAAATGTACAATTTCGCGATTTCAACGACTTTTGCTAATGCATCAGTCGTAAGATAACAAGGTCAGAGTAGAAAACGTAACTGTAATTTTTTTATTAAAATGATTCATAGACTTTATACAGGTATTTCACTTTCATCTTGTCCATGTTCTATTTGCTTCTTTTCATTTCCGAGCACTGGTGGCAGTCGCTTTAGGATGAAATCCACCAAGTTGACTGCCAAACGGAATTCGCAAGTTTCCTCTAATACACCGCACACCCCTAACACCGGCGACCTGTGGGAAGGTAGCTAGCTTATCCCCGTTTCTGATAGAGGGAAAAGTTTCCAAATAAAATAAAATCCCAGGTGCTGCGCGTTAATAGAACGAATTTGACATTGAAATCGACCCCTCTAGAAACTGCATAAATGTGAACAAATTTTTATTTATGTCTAACCGTTTTCTATCACCAACGTCAAGCGAGCTGATATGCCAACCTTCATATGTGAAAAATATGACTTCCGCGAATGCATTTTTGGAGTGACAGTTNTGACAGTTATCAAAAACCTCCCTCATCAATGCAGAAAAGTTTACTATGTCCGAATTGGCGTATTCAGAAGACCAACAACAATGCGCTCAATAATCATATCCCTTCCAACTCGTTAGGCGGTGTAGACACTTAATTCTTTTGACAGGTAAAAAGAACTTCATTAGAAAACTGGCTCAGTAGATCAGCTTTAACAATATGCTGGATTACTCGTTGGCCACCAATGAGACAAACCCATTGCCAAATGGACGGATGACACGATTTGAAATTGTTGGTCAAATCAATACGCGCTATGCTTTGTTGGGCGTTCGATAACAGCTTTATATCACGTGGCCTCAGATGCATTTCAAATTGAGCCATCATTTTCC